ACACCTTCGATATCCAGGAGTGTTCATTAGGGAGGGGAACGAAATATTCCTTAAAAAGGTACAGAAACCTCTCCTAACAGACGCGTTTTAAAATCATGAAGCTGACGGTGATGCGTAATAGACTAAAGTGGACAATATTTGGTACCCGTCCCGAGTTAAAAACATAATTAAAGACTAAGGATGGTGGGGTGGGCATGTTGTCCAACTCAAAGCACATGCATCCACATGATTTTCACACCATCTTCCACAGCCCCCCTCCCTCATATAATCACACCCTGGATTATTCCTCCCCCACTTTCCAAGTTCAATGGATATCATTTACAAACACACAAGCCATCGTCCCCTCTCAACGTCATTACATTACTCATACAACACAACACATTTATAGGGGAGGTTGATGAATTATGTGTGTGAGCTTGTCCATATTTGTGGCAACAAAACCGGACAGTATGGATATCATGTCCGGATTTTGGTTCTAACATTCATGAATCTCTAAGTTTTCACTCCAAATTATTAGTTTTTTTTTTTTTTGTTTCTTCATTGTACGGATGCAAAATTTGATGAACACGTTATGAACTCAGATTTCTTTGGAAGAACAAACATAATTTAAATTCTATGTAAGAGATTCTTCAGTTCTTGTCTTCTATGTAAACTTTAAGGAAGATAATTATAGTTAGTGAATAAATTATGAGTTTAAAGGTGGGTTTGATTATATATTATAATTAGGGTAAAGGGTTATCCTGGTTGGCTATAGATGGGGTTAAAGCTAGGAGGTCACATGCATTACTCATCAATCAATGTTCTTAGTTATCAAACTTTTATTTAAAAACATGGGTTGATTTATCATACTAATTCAATCGTCTAACACGATATATAATCTGAATAATCTAAACTATTCATGTCAGATCTCGTATCGATTCGAGAGTGGAATGAGTGTCAGTGAGGACGCTGAGCCTCGAAAGAGGGTGGATTGTGAGATCCCACGTCGGTTGGAGAGAAAAACGAAACATTTTTTACAAGGGTGTGAAAACCTCTCCATAAAAAATGCGTTTTGAAAACTTTAAGGGGAACCCTGAAACAAAAAGTACAAGAACGACAATATTTACTAGCGGTGAGCTTGGGCTGTTACAATTCAATTCAAAGGTCGGATTAGGTTGAATTTTTGGAGATTCGAAAAAAAAATTTTGTTAGATTTTGTGGGTTGTGATTTTTTTGGTCGGTTTGGGTAATAAATGTATATATGTTAGCAAGTTTGAGTTTATTTCTTCGGTCTTTACCTTCACCTAATGATATTCAAATAACCCGATAACTCGAACAACTCAAACTTATGAACCGAAAATAGAGAGTTGGGTTGTGAACATTATTAGATTCATTTGGGTAACCAACCTGACCAAACTCGAAGTTTCGAGTTGGTTCAAAATATTTTCGTAACTCAATCCAACTCAATCTATATACACCCCGAAGCAAAATTTCATATAAATATCTATTTGTTCCAAATTATTATTATCTAGAGAATAAAAGCTTTTGATCTAAGCACATGTTAATGAAACTATATTAAATTATAATAATTAAAATTATTTATCTAAGCACATGTCATCTAGGGTTTCATTAAATATAAATACATATGTTTGCATTTTATTGGTGAAGCCACTAAGCTAAAGACCATATGGATATACATTATAATTATGTCACATTATGGTAAATTATGGATCTAATAAATTAAAACACCTTATCATAATGTTTGCATTTAATTAATGCTAATTAAGTAAAGTCCACGTGGGTTCTTGACTTTATTTTGATGGATGGTGCGGTCACTCACATGGGAATAATGCCCAATGTACATATCAAAATTTTCTTTTTTAGTTTTTTATTTATATTTTCTTTTATTGGAAAGAAATATGAATTAGTTTAATCATTTTCATCCCACATGCTTAGTAGTTAGCTCAACCTCTAAGGATCGGTCTCGTCATGTCGTATCACATGGTTGTCATGTCATATTGTTATAATATACGTTTATATTATATACTTTTATTTTCAATTTCTTTAATGATATCTCGTAGAAAGAAAAAAAACGAGGACAGTCATGATGGGAGATGAGCATAAACGTGCACGTTTGAGATAAATCGACCAGATGATTAAATAGAGGAATTTGACGCCCTTTATTATTATTTTTAGAATTAACGGTTTGAAGTATATGAATGAATACGTTATTCAAGCAAGGTAAATTTTTTTCTCGTTTTTTACTCTGTAAAAATTCTAATTTTCGTTTTAGTCCTCCAATAATTATCTTTATTTTATTTTACTTTCAATTTTGATTTAAGAAAATTGCTCTCTTTTTTTGGTAAAAAACATGGGCTGAAATCTAGGCCCACTATATAATGGCCCACTATGTAAAGGCCCATTATGAAAACTCTAGATGTTGTTCGGCCCAATAATGGTAATTATCAATAAGTTTAATTAGTCCACTCATATTTTAGTAATAATTTAAATTAAATAAATGTGTGGTCTATAATGTTTAATATTCCTCTGCCCATTAAATTTTTTATCCAATAAAAATAAATATAGTAGTGTCTGTCTGGTAAATTTTTAAATATATTAATTGAATATTCTGGTATAAATAAATAAGTAAAGAAATGATTCTACAAAAATAAGGCAGCTAAAAGAATATTCTTCTTTTTATGCACGAAAGTTATAGATATTATATTTATTAAAAAAGAATATACGAAAAAATAGAGTATATTTTATTTGGAAGAGGCTTCAATATTCCAAAGAAATGAAAATGACCCTATATTCATCTTCATTTTCTATATTCACTTTCTTTTTCTTATATTAATTATTGGTATATTCTTTCGAACCATTTAGATTTTGAATTAATTTCAAATACAATAAAGTCTTTTTTTTTTTTTTTTTTT